CAGCTTCCCGTGCAGGGTGAGCCTGGCAGTGGCTTGCAGGGATGGAGAATGCCAGGAGCAGCTTGCTGCAGGCCGGGGGTGAGCGCTGGCAGGTTGTGATCCGCTTGGCCAAGTTCGCTGAGCCGAGCAGCCCAGGATGCTGGGAACCATCTGCTCTCGAAGAGCCTGAGGGTGCAGCAGGTCGCAGCTCCTGGGCAGCGCTACAAGCCCCACCACGCTGCTTGGCACGGCAGAGCAAGTACGAATGGGGGACTGTGCTGGTGCGGGGTGGGGACAAGGGGGAATCCCCCGGAGGCCCGGCCTCAGAGGCTCTGTCTACACTGCAGCTGGCATGGCTTGGGCCTGAGGCCGAGCTCTGGGACTCTGCGCTGGGGGCGGGTACCAGAGCGTGGGCTTCAGCGTAGCCCAAATGGCCACATAGCAATTTTTAGCCCCATGAGCCTGAGTCAGTTGACCTGGGCCAGCCGCAGCCGAGCAGAGGCTTTTGTTCCAGGGCAGGCGTCCCGCTGTGGCGGGCTCTGACCCCCTGAGATGGGGAGGTCCCGTGGGGCAGAGGCATCCCAAAGGGCAGGGCCACGAATGGTTTGAAAAACAAAAGCCTCCCGCAGAGTTGCCTGTGAAATTCGGCGTGCAGGAGCCCATGCCTGCGTAGCTGGCAGCAATGCTGCGTGCACTGGGCATTGGGGCAATGACCCGAGGCCAGCTGACGTCCAGGCCTGAGCGTCCGTGCACCTGCTGGTGTGTGCAGAGTGCTCGGGGCAGGGCTGTCACCGTATTTCGGTGCCTAAAGATGCAGCTGGTGGGATTTTCCTAAGTGCCTGGGTGCTGAACTTCCAATGGAAACTCTGCCAGCCCCTCTCCTCTCCCTCCCCTGCCCCCCCCTTTCCCCCACGGGGAGTCGGGCGCCTGGGCATAGTTTTCAGAAGGGCCTAGCCCCTAGCTGCATTTTTTGCTACCTTTAAGAAGGCACTTTGCATGTGCAGGCAGGTTCATGGCCCCATCACCTGGACTCACACACCCAGCTCGGGGCGTTAGCTGGCCACCTGCACCGCTAGGCACCTAAACACCTTTAGCAATCTGGCCCTTTGTGCCTAGCTGGGGCCATTCACTGCAGGGGCTGCTGTTCAAGGCTCCAGCCCTAGCAGCGGTGATTTGCATCTCACGCGCCAGGCCGGAGTCGCTCTGTATTGCAGATGGAGAAAGGGAAGCCAAAGGTGACTTGCTCAAGGTCACGGGGGAGGCATTTTCAGAGCCAGGAGCACAGGTCCGGAGTCCCTGGCTGCCTGCCCTGTGTGCAGGCCAATAGCTCCCAGCTCTAACCACAGCAGTTTACAGGACCTGTGCCTGCACGTCCCACCAGCTGGTCAGCATATGGGTGCGCTGCAGGGCCTGGCGGGCGGCTGTCCCAGAGCCCTGGGCAGCGGTGCCAACGCCCCTGCCACTTCCCCAGACTGTCAGCTTATGCCAGGAGAGAGCAGCTCTTTCTCCCCGGCCAGCCCCTCTGCCCCTGCCTCACTGTCCCAGTCCCTCCCTAGGTGCAGCCCTGTGATGAGAGTGCCAGGCCTCAGCCACCACCTGCCTCAGCCCTGTAGTCGGCCCTTTGGCCCCCACCCCCAGTGCCGCCCATGCTGGAGCTGGTCAGGCTGGAGTCCCCCAGCTCTGCTTTGCTCCCTGTCCTGCTGCCCTACCTTGCCCAGCCTTGTGGCCCCTTCGGCCAGGCAGCTCCCGTCCGGGTCCGGGGGAGAACGCTGGGAGCCCTTGGTGCCCCCGGCAGTGGAGGCACTGGCCGTACTGACCTGTGCTGGGCCCGCAGGGGGGCTGTCCCAGCTTGGGGCCGAAGCGCACTCGGAGCGGACGCAGGGCAATGTACAAATTCCTTTATTTTATTATTTCTTCGAAGACTAGTTGGAGTGGGATGGTCACCGCATGGCTGGCGAGGGACCCCTGCCTGGGCCGGCCCCTGTCCCAGGAGCACGTCTCAGGCGGGTGCGAGCAGGGAACAGCTGGGGTCCTTCTGTGCCCCATGAGTTTCTGCTGAGCTGGCGGCTGAAGGGGTGTTGGTGGATGAAGAGGGGGTGTATTCTGGGGGGGGTCACTGCAGGGTCGCACATCCATCAGCTGTAGGAGCCCTCCTCCCTGGTGCTCTGCATGCAGTGTGCTCCCCGGAGCCCTCCCCAGCTGGGGGGGCCTGTCCCCCCCTTATGTCAGATGCCAGCCCCCGGTGGGGCTGAGCTGGGTTCTGGGGCGCGCTGGGCAGCACCATCAGAGCAATGCTGTGGAAGCCCAGGGGGCTGGACAGGGAAGAATGGATCAAGCAGTCTGATGGGCTAGTGTGCAGGGCTTTACATTCCCCGTGAAGAGCACGTGCGATGGGCTCAGCCACAGGGCTGGTCTCGTTGCTAGCAGATGAGAGCCGCAGCCACCTTGGGCAGGGCAGCTCCTGGGGACGCATGTGGCTAGCTGGGGTACCGGGGCTGCTCTGCTGACCGTCAGGCCCCAGGGAACGCCCTGCACCCGGCCAATGAGCAGGAACACAAGCAAAGCGTGCGCATGCATACAGCCACCCACAGTCACCCAGCCAGCCCCATGCACGCACACACACACACACACACGGTGTCATGCCTACTGCCCCATTGCTCAGGCGCAAACAGCACGCGGTTAGGGGCACATGCATGCGATGATGCGCCAAGACGACCCTATTGGTACACACATTTGCACCTGCATTCAAAGCCACAAACACACTCACACACACAAGATTGGCGCTTCTCTCCTGGCCGTTTCCAGGTGGGGAGGAAAAGCCTGTGACAAGACTCGAGCCCCTTTGAAATGCACAACCAGGAGAAACCCCGCTGCTGTGTCCTTTGGGGAGCGGGGGGGTCCTCACGTACCCACCCTAGACGAAGGGACTTGGCCTTTGGCCGGCTCCGTCTCACCAAGCCGTGAAGAGCAGCTGCTTAGGCCAGCAGGACCCCAGGGGCAGCCAGACGCGCTGCCGGCTCCAGTCCCCCTCCTCTGCAGAGGGTCGCAGACCTCTCTGTCTAGTGGTAAAAGTATAAACCAAACGCAGGCCACCCCGGGGGGAGCCGGGTCTGGCTTATCAGCCCTTTGCCCCATGGTAGAGTTTGTGTTTATTGCAGTTTGCAGACATCAGCCATTCAGCCGTGGAGCGTCAGCCAATGGAAGCAGGTGAAATGAGATGGGGGGGGGCCCTGGGCAGCGCAGCAGGTGACCCCCACTCTCCCTCCTTGGGGGCATGCGGGGAAAACACAATGCACGGTGCTTCGCTGCACAACGCGTGCTGGGCAGGCCCATCACACGACATGGGGGGGGGGGGGGGGCCTGGGACCACATGGTCACTGCAGCCCCCCCCCCTCCCAGTCACCCACACGCCTGGCCTCAGGCCCCCAGCCCAATTGTCCCCCCGTTCCCCTGCTCGTCAGCCCTGGATGCCATCGCCCCACGCAGTGCCCGCCCCTCCTCGTCCTGGGCCCCTGGCCACCCCGCGTCGCCCTGCCTGGCACTGGGGTCCCCTGGGCCATGTGGTGACCATCTGGTGCAGTGACTAGCGGACAGGATGAGAGGGTTGGGATGTTTACCCTGTTACACAAACACTAATGCGGAAACACACACGGGCCAACGGGGTGGCCTGAGACGTGGACGTTGGGGGGTCGGGGGGATCCCGCCTGGGTCTGCTCCTCTGCACAGGCGCGGAGCGTGGCGGTGCGGCTCGCTGGAGTGCGTTGAAGTATTGCAGTCTAACTGATATGGCTTTAACTATCGGAGAAGGACACAGATGCGGAGGGAGACTTTGTGGCTTCTCTCAAACTCAACCCGCACGCAAAAACAAAACCCCTGGAAAATGGGAACCCTGGGATGCAATCGGGACCCCCCCCCCCCAAGCAAAGAAACCCCTCAGGGAAACAGGAGACAAGCCCCGGGCCTCTGAACCCGCCTCGGGGGACAATCCACCCTCTTCTCAACAGGGCAGGAGGGGAGCCAGCACTTCGGGGGGGGGCGGGCAGCTCTCAGCCACCTCGCTCTGCCTGGCGCGGGCTGGAGAGGCTGCCTGTGTCCCTGGGCGGGCTGGGGCTGCAGTGGAGGGATGAGCCAGGGCAGCTTTTCACGGGTGTTGGCGGGGGGGCTCCCTGGAGCCATGCAGGGGAGGAGCGGGGCCCAGAGATACCAGCTGAGCGCTGCATAAGGACGGGTTCCTCCTGCCAGGGCTCGGGGGGTGTCAGCGGGCATGGGTGCCTGAGGGTGGCTGGGGAAGGGTTTTGGTGCCCAGATACCACAGCGATGGGCATAGCAGGAATGTGGGCAAGCGCCAGGGTGGGAAGTGGGCTGAGCGGGACCCCCGCTCCCCTCCCCCAGCGGCCCTGCCATAATGGGAATCGCTCAGTAGGGGGCGCCGGGAGGGCTAAGTGCTGGGTCTGCCCTCTGGGCTCAGGCCCCACGTTAAACCCCTCTGGCAACGTGCCAGGATCGTCCCCAGACCCAGACCTCCCCCCACCCGCCGTGCAGCAGGGCTGGGAGGGGAGGTGGGAAGCCCCCGTTCCTTGGGCCCAGCTCTGGCCCTTGTTTTTTTATAAAGCTCCTCCCCAACCGTTTGCCCTAATGGGCAGGGTCCTGAATATGGCAAAGGGTGCCCGGCTTGACCCCCCAAGAGCCGAGCTCGGCCAGGGATGCCCCCCCGCCCCCGGCTGGGCTGTGCAGGGGACAGGCATGGCTGGGGTTGCGCCCGGGCCCACAGAGGGGTTGGGGGCACAGGGGTGAGGAAGGCTTTGTCTTTCCTTCCAGCCGCCCCTAGCCCCCCCAAGTTCCCCGCTGCCCCGGGGCAGGGTTATCTGGGGAGTCCACGTGTCCCTCTGCGCCAGGGCCATCCCCGGGGCTTGGTGTGCAGGCGAGGGGCAGCGTGTGGCCGCCCAGCACCAGCGGAGGGGCCGGACCCAGCAGCCCCTTCCTGAAGCCCAAACAAAAGGCAACAGAAATGGGCAGTGCAGTGGGGGGCAGAGCCGTGGGGCGGCGCCGCTGGGAGCCAGCCCTGTAGCCCACCAGGTCCCCTCCGTGCCAGCACCCGGAACCTGGCCCGGCAGGACACCTACGCCCGCCAGCTGGAGCGGGCCTGGGTTGCTTTGCTCCGTGGGCTGCTTCCAGGCAGGGTCAGGGGGCGTGAGGGGCACAGCCCCCAGCCTGCGGGTGCTCTCCAGCTGCCCGCACGTCCCTAACTCCTGGCAGCGGGCAGGCAGCGTGGGACTGAGGAATGTCTGAAGTTAGTGAAGGGCAGGGAGGGGGCATGGAGAGCGGGCAGAGCCCTGCCTTTCCCTGCCGTCTGCCCCACCCTCCGCCCAACGTGAGGTTACTGCAGTGAATTTGGTCCCAGTTCGCCCCCCACGCCCGGGGGGATGTGCCAAGCAGCCGGCCGGCACTTTGGCACAACAGAACTCTGACTCCGTACGGCTGAGGGGCGAGGGAGGAAGGGGGAGCCCGGGGCTCCTGGCAGTGCCTGGCCTGGGGCTCCGGCTGCCCGGAGCTCAGCAGGTGGGGGTGGTTTTTGGTCTGGTTGCCTCGTCCGCCCCACTGGAGCAGCGAGGGGTTCTGGGCACACGGGACACATCTGGGATCTTCCCTTCGAAACTGAGTTGGAACAAAAATCAAATGAAATAAAAGAAATGAAAATCCCCCCCCAGCCCAGTGCGCCCCGGTGTGTGGGGGTGGGCCCGGGTGGGCGGCGCGGGGCTGTTACTTCTTGAACATGTCCTGGAGGGGCCCGGGCAGGTACTTGAGCACCGTGTCCAGGATGCTTTCCTCCTCCTCGTCGTCGTCGTCCCCGCAGCCCGCTGGGATGGCTTTCTTGGGGCGCGTCAGGCTGCCCTCGCACGGCTGCTCCATTGCCGCCTTCTCCTCCGCCTCCTTCTCCTCTTTCTTCTTCAGGCCGTACTGCAGGGGCAGAGACAGACCGGGCCTCTGAGCGCCTGGGGGGGGCAGCACATGGGGAACAGGCTGTGGGGGCCCCTCTCCTCTGGGGCCAGGCCTGCAGCCACTGGCCTGCCCCAGCCTGTGCCGTGCTGTGAGCGCCCGCACACTTCTCTGCAGGGCTGTAAACATGCCAGCCCAGCCGAGACCCGTCCATTGCTGACACCCCCCGCCAGCCCCTCACTGTGAGCCCACGGCGGGTAACGGACAGAGCCTAGCACAGCAAGGGGGCTGGCACTGCCCTGGAGCCAGCCTTGGGCACGTGTCTGGCCAGGCCCACGTTCCTTCACCACCCAGCCAACTCCCCTGCCTGCCTCTCCGGGGCATGCGCTTTGGTCTGTCATGTTTCTAATGGCGTCTAGGTGCTACTGTCTCCAGCCCGTGAGCAGCGGTGCCCAGAACAGCCTGCCCAGCTCACAGCCACTCGTCCTCTCCTCATTTTCAACACGCAGGCGAGCCCGGGGCAGACGGCCGGGCCCAGCTTGCAAAGCGACCAGGCTCCCCGTCCCCAGCACCAGCACTCGCCGCCCTGGGGTGCCTCCGGCCACGCAAAGGCACGGCGCAGCTTGCATAGCTAAAGGAGTAACCGGCTGGCGGAGCCCCACCTGCCTGGGGCCCACAGGCCCCGCTGCCTGAAATCTCCTGTTCCCATCTGTCTCGGCTCACAGGATATTGGTGGCATCTGTGATTAGAGACGGGCTTCCCCAGCGCCTGGGCCGAGGCAGCGCCTGGCGCGATGCGGCCGCGTTATCTGCTCCTCGGCGGGTTATTAAAGATGGCAGATAGGGCGAGACAACGCCAGGCTGTCATGCGGCTGCTTGCAGCAGGCGGAGGAGATAAGGACCCCCCCAGCCCACCCCTATTCCAAGCTAATCCCCGGCTGCGGCGGCAGGAGGAGCGCGTAGCCGGGGGCCGCGGGGGCCGGAGTGTCAGAGATGTTGCGAAGGGGGACAATCTCTGGGGCAGCTTTTCTCTCAGCCAGGCCTTGCTGCTGCTCACGGTGTCGCCAGTGAGAAAGGGGCCAAGCCTCGGTTGTGTCCAAATCCAGGCTCCAAGGCAGCAGCGCCCGGGCTCCTGCTCCACGGGGCTCGCCGGGCCGGGCTGGGGGGGGGGCGTAGGCAGGTGTGTGTGTGTGTGCGCCAGAGGGGCTCTGTGGGAGCGAGTGTGTATCTGTGTGCGCAGCAGTGGGTGTGTCACAGACACTGCCGCTCTGGGAGTGAGAACATGGGGGGGCACTATGGGGGTGCGTACGGAGGAGTGTGCGAGACCCTTGATGTGCCAAGGGGGAGGTGTGCTGGAAGGGGCCCCACTCCGTGCAGAGGAAGGCGGGGGCGTTACACCAGGGCTCACGTGCAATTTGCCTGGCTGTCATTAATTTCCCAGCGTTTCACTGTCAACAGCTGCCGGCCGCTCGGGTGACACGTCTTGGGCCAGGGACCCCACGGGCCCGGGTTTGACGGGCTGTCGGACGGCAGAGCCCCAGCTCCGCCCTGCTCCCCGCAGAGGGCTCAGCAAGCGCCTTCCCCGCCGTGCAAAGCCCCCGGCGGAGAACAGGCCCAGGGAGGTCAGTGACTCGCTTCTCCCAGCCCAGCCCCCGTCGGGGGCGAGATGGGAACTGTGTCTCCATGGCCCAGGCTGTCCTGCCCCTCTTTGCTCAGGCTGCCTCTTAGTGCCAATGGGATGGGGCTCTTTGGTGAGGGGGAGCCTGTCCTACTACGTACCGGGCTGAGACCCACCAAGCTCATTGCATACATGGGCCACCCAGGGGAGTAACACGCCCTGCCCACCTGGGGCAGGTTGGAACCCGCAGCATAGAGGGGAAATGACCTATTTGGCCTCCCCCTGCTCCCGAGTCCCCAGCCTCCTCCCCTTCCTGACTCCCTGGAAGTGGAGCTGGGCAGAGCTCCCCCCGCCCAGAGCAACGCTGGAGAACGTGCGGCTTGTCACCAGTGCAGCTGAGGGGCAAATCTCTCTAGCAGGTCCCCTACAATCTGCCCTGGCTGCAGCCAGCCCATTGCAGCCAGCTGAGAATCAATGCGAGAATCCCTAGGCCTGGGCATTGGCCATGGCACAGAAACCCCAACCCTAAACCCGGGATCTGTGGCAGCGAGCTCAGCACACTGGCGAAGAGACGAGCCGGGATCGGGCAGGGAGTCAGCGATCCAGCGCACAGAACGCTGCAGCCCGCGGCCTCCCCGACGCAGTGTGGGCAGGACACACCGTCTCCTTTATTCGTTACAGATGGACGTCGCCGCCCTTGGGACGCAGAGGGAGCTACGCAGTCGGAGCACAGTCAGGTGAAATCCCTGCAGCCACAAGCCCTCCCCTCTGTGCCCACTGCAAAATCCTATTGCTCCCACCACGTCTGGGGGGGCTGGTTCTGCCCCACCCCGCAGAGCTCAGGGCACAGGTCCTTTGCTTTTTGCACTTTGAAACTAGCCTGGCCAGTTTCCCTGCCTAGCTCCAGGCAGTTCCAGATGCCCTAAACCACCATCCTCTGCAACACAAACCTACCGGTCTCAGAGCCGCCGGCGGGACTGGGAGAAAGAACAGGGCAAGGCGGGCGCCCAGGAACAGCGTGGGCAGCCCGCTCAGCACAGGGCCAGGAGGGGGCGACCAGCATTCATGGGTGTAGTATGGGAGGTTCCTGCCGAACTGCCGTGTCTGGCTGAGCCGGAGTCACCCGAGCCCCACTCTATGGGGCTGTCCAGGGACTGTCACTGGGAGGGGCAGATGGGCGCTGAGCCAGCCCCAGGGAGTGATTGCCCAGAGCAGGGAATCCCTCTCTGTTCGGCTCTGCTACGGCCCCAGCCTCTCCGCACAGGGCTCCCCCCACTCAGCCACGGGCCCATTGGGCTGTGACACAGGCGCACTCCAGCCCCTCCGCCCCGCCTCACCCACCTTATCCCGGATCTGTTGCCGGACCTTCTCCCTCTCGGCCTCCATCCTGGCGTGCTTGGCCTTCCGCTCCTCCTCCTGCTGGCGAAGGGCTTCTTGCCGCTCCTCCTCCTTCTTCTGCGCGTCGGGATCCTTCTCTTCCTCTCCACCCAGCATCTTCCCCATGTCCTTGGTGGCCCCTGCACAGGACACACGAGGCAGAATAGGCAGGGGAGCAAGGCTGCGGCCCCGGTGCTCCCGAAGCCGATGCCTGGCGCCATCCCCTGCTGCCCCCCATCTGGCCGCTGCCAGGAGGGGCAGAACTGGGTGTGATGAAGTGGGACTCTTCTTAATGTTTCCTCTGAATACTGTGTGGGTGCCTCAGTTTCCCCTATGCATTTCTTAAGTCTCCAGTGTGCATAAATGGCCGACACTCTGTATCCTGGCAACAAGTGGCTGGGGCCCTTCCCCCCTTGCAAGAGAATAGCTAAAGGTGAACAAAGAGATCAGGTGACCTCCTGGCCCGGGAAAGAGACAAAGGCCGGAGAGGAGAGGCTGGAGGGGGTTTCAGTTTGGAGCTGGCTGGGGACGGGGAGTGAGTGCAGACGTGGGTGTCTGGCTCGCTGGGCCCCAGGATGGACCCGGCTGAGGGGTCCTGTTCTCTGTACCTACAAGCTCTGTTTTAGACCATGTTCCTGTCATCTAATAAACCTCTGTGTTACTGGCTGGAGTTCTGGGAGAACTCCTGGAAGTACCCCTGGGAGAACTCCTACACCAGCCTGGCACCCCTGGCTCCTGGCACCCGTGTGGCACGTAGACAGAGAGAGACTTACAATCCAGATGGGCACCCCCCTTTAGCAGCAGCCCAGAGACAGTCCTAGGCCAGGCTCTCTTCGGTGCGGGGCCCTTTCTCAGATACCCAGCCGGGAAGGCAGGCGGACATGAAGAACAGACTTACCCCCTAACGCTTGCTTCATGACGAAGTCCATGCTGCCGGGCCCGATCAGTGCGCTCTAGGCAACAGCAGAATTCTCATCCAGTGCTGGGGGCCGGACGCCTCGGATCAGGTGCCACCTGGCCAGGAAGGAGAGACCCAGTGAGATGGGCTGAGCCAGCGCAGAGACCTTTCCCCCCCAGCGCCTGGGGCCAGGAGGGCAGGGGTAACCTTGCTCTTGTGATCAGCCCTAGTCTTTGCAGACGCTGGCGCAGTCAGGCCCAAAGGGAACCATGCCACACTTACCAGAGGTTGTGGTAGGGCGGGGGAAAGGAATTGCTATTGAGATGCAAATCATGGGCCAGATTCTGCTCTCCCTTGCAGTGGTGTAAATGACTGACCTCACTTTCAGGCCCCGATCTCCCTGCACAAGCCCCACGGGAGCCTATGGGGTGAGCTTGGCTCCGGGGCCAACGGGAGATGGCTGTCGGGATGCAGCAGGCCGCGTGGGATTGCACCGGGACACTCCAGTTTGACCCAGATGGATACAGGCCAACACATACCAAATCCCTGGCATCCAGAACCAAAAGTGGGTGCCCAGGGCTGTGCTCCTGGCCCGCGCTCACCAGCTGCCTTCGCAGGTTAGTCAGGGAGCCACTCAGGGAAATAATTAGCCTGATAAATACAAGCCGGCTCTTTCTCTCTCTCATGCATCTCCCGCACACCTACCGGTAGTCTACCTCTCGCACACTCACCCCACGCTCAGTGTGTGATCACATGCACACACGCACGCGCGCACACACACACACATGCATGTACACACGTGCACATGCACACACTACATCACAGCAGCTTCAGACAGACTTACAACCATCCTGCTTCCAGCTTGCGAGAAGGATCCAGGCTCCTGTCTGCCAACTGCTGTCCAGACAGCCAGAGGGGAGAAGGCCAGCTGGCAGCTCGCCCCATCCTGGCTGGCGTAGCTGCATGACACACCGAGCTACCACCCAGCCAGCTCCTGGCCGGCCGGCCCTGCTAGAAAAGCCCCCCCCATGCAGTGGAGCCCCGGATGGAGCTAAGCTCCTTTCAGTTGGCCGTTGTACAGAGACGTGTGGCTGTTTGTCCACCTCAGGGACCCACCTGGGGGCTGGGAGGGATGCCGGAGTGAGCCCGTGTTTGGCTGCTGTGGGTTCACGGTGCAGTGAGCTGACCAGCCTGGGCGTGCACCTCAGCTAACTGGCAGGGGGCAGATCTGCTAGAGAGTCTCTAGATGCCAGGAAAGAAGCTACAAGGCCAGCTACCACTTAGCAAAGCTGCGGCTTTCCTGCTTCACACCTGTCTGCCTCCGTACCGACCTGGCCCCATTACCATAGTGAGCCACTCGTGCCCCCCTTTTACGGGTGAGGAGCTGAGGCACTAAGTGACTTGCCCCAGCTCAGTTGGGGAGTCTGCGGCACGGCAGGTTATGAGCCCAGGTCTCCTGGGTCCTAGGCCAGTGCCCTGACCGCTAGGCCTTCCTGCCTCTCAGACCCCAGCTGGGGACAGATTGAAAGGTGGCTTCCCCTCTCCTTACGCTGTTTCCATTGGAGCAGCCTCACTACCTGTCAATCCCCCGTCCTCTTCTTGGAGTAACCTTCCATCGCTCTTTGCATCAGCACAACCTAGTGCTTTTGCCGTAGCGCCCAGGAGCCCTAGGCATGGCCTAGGACCCCACCGTGCTAGGCGCTGTACAAGCGCAGAGTCTCTGCTCTGTCGGAACCAAACTCCACCTGGGCAAACAAAGCCCCCCAGAACGTTGCTATACCTTTGACACCTCCCTACTGCAGAAGTGGTGCGGAATATTCCTGACAGTCGGCAACTCCTGGATGGGTGCAAACCCCACGGCGGGTGTGGCGAGGAGTCACAGGACCAAAGTGAGAAAGGGAACATTGAGCACTGCATGAGGCTGCTGCACCGTCTCCCCAGGGAACGGGTGCAAGTCCCGTCGCTTGGGCCATTTACCCCTAGGCTGATTAGCGCACCAGCTACTGTGCTGTAGAGAACTGGGCTGCATTGGTCCCTGGGAGACAGAGCTGATGGAACCCAACAGATCAGTTCTGCAATTCTTGAGGCTCTGCTCCTGCACACCAGGCCGCAGCCTCTTGGAGTAGCTGCATTTCCAGATGCGGCTTTACAACAGTGAAATGCACGAGCTTGACTGGAGCTCCTTCCAGCGCTTGCTCATTGCACTCCGCCTTTCTGGAGAGACGCCCTCCGGGAGCGCCTCGTTCTAGTGACTGGAAACAAGCAGTGAGCTGATACCTCAGGGGACAGCTGAATGTGCCCAGAACCATTGGACGTGAGCGCAGGCAGCACGGCAGTGATGCCAATGATTCATGCATGACAGATCTAACATGCAGATCAGCGCCTTCCTCTCTCTTTCAAAAGGACGCTGTGTTCCTAACTCCTCTTTGCAGGAGACCCTGGAAGAGCTCCAGCCCATTCCATCCAGTGGTGATGGGCAGTTCCCGTAGCAATGCCTAGACTTAAGGTTGCCTGACATGTTCCAGCATAAGACCCTGTTTTCAGCTGCTTATAAATTTGACAAACTTTGACCATTTGGGCTGAATATTTCCTTGCTGAGCATCTGCTTTTCTGAATGTTTCAGCAAAAATGGTTCAGCCACTTCTCATACGGAGATTAGGGGTAGCACCTTGGTGTCAGGAACGTGCCTTTTGTCTTCCCCAGGAAAATCTGCCCAAAGTTGGCCAAGTTCTGAACTGCTGGAAATCGCTGTTCACACGAGCTGAGTAAAACCTTGTTAGAGTTCAACAGCTAACTTCTCTTCAGAGTCTGTCTGCACTGAGCATGCTCCATCCCCTCCCAGCTTCTACATGCCGACAGGACTGCACGCGCTCTGTCCCCAGCTGAGCAACTGCCAGGGAACCCTGCTGGGTGCCGGAAAAGGGGTGGAGCATGGCATGCCCTGGCCAGACAATGGGCCAAATGGAGACCACTCCTATCAGAGTCAGGGGCAAGTGCCCCTGCTTATGCCCAGTTCCTTATTTGCCTGTGTGTGACTCGATGCACTGCTCATCCCTCCCACTCTGCAGTCAGGAGACAGCCGGGAGAGGAGACTGCATTCAGCTGGGTTCTCAGAAGGCTGTTTCCATTGTAATGTGGAAGCCAGCTTGGCATTTTCCATTTCCTGGTGCCCCTGTGAGCCCCGGGATACACTATAGCCTTTGCCAGCTTAGCGGTGTCAGCCAGGGGTGCGTGATGAGGTGTGATCCCTGATGGACACAGCTCTGCTGGCAAAAGCTCCTTGTGTAGACACAGCTCTAGCTGCAAAACTGCATTTTTGCCACTACAGTGTATTTTGCTTGAGGGGCTGATATAAGCTCTGCTAGCACAAACCACGGTATCAGCAGCAGCCAGGCTGGAGTGCTTTGCTGGTATAATATACCCGACTAGCTAACCTGGCCGAGTGCTCCTGGTATGGACCTGGCCAGCAATGTGGAGAACAGAGGGACTCCCGTCGGTTCTCAAACCCTGTGCCTACACTCGCTCGCTGACCTGGAGGGCTAGCACTGAGGTAAACACTAGAGGGCAGCACGGCCCCATTAGCCCTGCTGCTCTGGGGTAGGGGGCTATTGCAATTCCACCCAATCTCTATTCTACACTGGAACATCTGACGCTGGAATGAAGCCCGCAGCTTTGGGGAGCGTCCAGGGAGGTTTGTCTCGAGCGGTGCTTCCAGCAGCCGAGGGAGCGGGTGTGAAGTTTGCAGTCACACCTGCGCACTCTTACCATGGCTGGCCTGGGCGCTGGGGCCTGGCCCCTAGAACGTTTGGGGAACGCGTGGTGTCTACACACACCTGCTTAGTCCTGCTGGCCTCGCAGCAGATTTAATCATTGATGAAAGCAGAAACAATCAGATCCATCTTCCCTCTCCTACAGCGGGATCTCAGCCCAGCCCTGCTCCTGGGAGCCGAGCGGAGCAGGTGGGGAGCGGTACCCAGAGGGCCGTGCGAATAAAATGGATTCAGACGGTGGGCCACCTCAGCATGGCTTAAACGCGTTCAATTACCAACAGCTCATGTCGCCAGTGGGGACCAGCCTGGATCTATATTGGCGCTTGCTTCCCAAGCCAGGCACCTGCTGGGCAGAGCACTGCTGCATTAGATCCCCCGCACCTGGATCATCATTCACTAGCGCCAGTCCCAAACCTTGCCGGGTCCCCGGCCTGTCGCTGCCAGAGACCCCTTCAACCACATTGCTTCAAACGCAAACCTAGGACAGCCCCTGCAAACCGCAGCAAGCCCCATGTTGGGGGGATGAGGGTTCTCCTGCTGCTCCCGGGGAAGCAGGCAGCCTCCCCACTCAATTGATTTTAGCCCTGCCTCATATGAATTAGCCACTGTAGTTTCTTGATAATGAAGTTCATTTTTGCAAGGCAGAGAACGCTGCTCGGGTCGAGGTCGTGGCAGCTAATGGCTCGTTAGCAGGATGCAAGCAGGCTCTCTGCTCAGCACATAGCACCAGCCTTCTCCTCCCCACCAGGCCAGGCCCCGCTGCTGATGGAGCATTTGTAGTCAATTTGCATCCTCCCCTCATCTTTGATTTAATGCTGTGATCCAGCACCATCATAAGGAACACGGATTCCTTTCGCGAGAGCTGCGGTTACTAAAACACCACTTGGGAGAGTAGCTCTCCCCTCTGACGTCTCGGGCCACCCCCTGCCCCCTGGCGAACCCGGCCTTCTGGGTGTGGAATCAGGGAGCAGAAAATTGAGTGGCATAATTTGGGGGTGGGATGTGGTGCCTGGGAGGGCTGTACTCCGGAAAGCCCACACACTGGGGGGACGCCAGCTCCCTGGGGGAAGCAGGAGGTTCTGAACGAACGAGGTTTGGACAAGTGAGGCTGTTGGCAAATCACCAGAGGCACAAGGAAGAGAAATCTTAGCAATAATCATAAATCACAGAATCACCGCTGCTAGAGAGGGGAAAGACCTATGACATCACCCAGCCGGTCTCCCTGCCAGTGCAGGATTGATCTCGGCTGGCCATTTCCTGGAATAGGGTCCAATCTAGGTGTAAAACCCCCAGGCAATCAGACGTCTGCCACGTCCCCCAGGAAACGGTTCTGTGGCCTAACCCAG